AACTTGAAGTTAAAATATCTGGCAAACAAAATAAAAGATATTCTAAAATGTAATTGCATCCATCCGGTGAGTATCTTAAAATATAACATAATTCATCTAAGACGTTTGGAAATAAAACCAATTAACAGCTACTTTATATAAGCAATAGTTATTTTAGATGGTACTTCTTATTGACTCACTCACATAATTACTTACTTGAAGTTTACTTAATGATACATAACTAATCTGATTGAATGGTAATTTCCGTTTTATAATTTCTACTAATTTGCCTTTCTCTGGGCCCTTCTTGATTTGCTCTTGACCGATAAGGTATAAGTATTTGTTGGTTAGAATAAAATTTATTCTACTCGTCTGCGAACCGTTATTAGATCGTTACACGTAGCGTATATTTGTTAATAGCTAGTTTTCGTAGATTTAGATAAGTACCTTGAATCTCCTGTCATACTTTTTCACAACTTCAGCAAAAAAAATTTTCTCCCTTCTTCCAATTAAATTTAATATTTGAGGTTTGTCGTCCAATCCGATGTAATCGCCCATGAAATGTCTGTTTAAGCTAGCTCGTCTACGTTCTTTCCGACCAAACAACAAATCAGCTGCTTCTTGTCTTTCTTGTTCTTGCCTCTTTCGAGCAAAGTACTTTTTGAATGCTTTTTGAATTACTCTAGCGTACATGTTATATTTCCGATCTCTTGCTTCTTCTAGCGTAAAAAGCTATTAAACAATAGTGACATTGATCATTTATATTGTAGATTTATATGAAACAATTTTTTGAGTATTTAGATTTCTACGGCAAAGGCTGTGCTTTTGTACCGACCAACCGATATTTCGTCTTATCTAAGATTCTTATCATTCTTTATGAACACCACTAATTAAACTATTATAATGTAATCACTGTATTTTAGAATAAAATCGAAACTTACACTTTCGGGAGCTTTTATAAATAGTTTTGTTTTCCCAAGTTGATACTGCGATCGATTAATATCGAGGCTTTTTAATATCCATTCGACTCCCTGTTTTTCATTACCAGACCAACGTGGCCAGGTTTCTTTCGTGAGAATTCCATATCTTCGTAAAAATTTGGCGAATGGTCTTCTATATGCAAAACCAGCCCTACGTACTCTAATATTTTCTTTTAGACCTAAATATTCTACCTAAATGAAAGAACATGAAAACAGAACATTAATCAGAAAAATATGTAATAGTCGTGCTTTGTGTTGTTTGAAAATGCTTAAATCTACTGCACATATATATACGTATATATATATATACCATACTTAAAATATATATTTAAGCGTGAATAAAAAAGTTTATAGTTGCTGGATCCCAGATTTGAGGTTTCTATATAATTGTTAAATTAATTTATATCAAAAAACAAGTTACTGTATAAATATACAGTATATAAATATATATAAATATTTCCTTTTCTTTTCTTAAATAGGAATATGTAAAAAATGGTATGTCTTGATATTATTAAATTGAACATGCACAAACAAATAAAAACAAGAGTCTCGTTAACTTCATGAGAGAAAAGACATACTTGGTGCTTTATTCTAACCGAATCCCAATCTCGTGGTCTTTTTGTCTCGTTTGGTTTAATGCATCTGATATAATGTGGTGTACATTTCATCAATTGATTGACCAATCGGCTTGCTTGGTTTCTAATCTTGTTACCTGCAGTGGTGGGTCTGGATCTAAGCGTTTTTATTTTATTTGTTTGACTTTCTGGCGGATACAATTTCTGGATCAAAGAACTGCAAATTCACAACATATATATAGATGTTTTACATACACCTACCAGTAGATTAAGCTAAAATAAAATTAAATATAGGAGCGTAGGAATCTCCAAGTTTATTTAATAAGTAAACAGGTAAAAAGACAATAACAATGACTTACTTCGTACTTGTTTGCATTAGTTCCACAAGGTCTAAGAAAAGTACATCGCGATTTTTATCGCAAAATCCATCAACCGAATACGAAACTATACCGGCATAATGCATAATAGTAAATCCATCTTGCGTGCTTTGAAAATGTTCGTGTTTGTTAGATGCAATTGCAAGTTTCTGTAAATAAATGTAATAAAGTTTCTGTTAGTACAAAAATTCATTAATTTAATAAGAACTGAGAAAATAAATTATCCAACCCTTTATAATATTAATTATGTATCACTGAATTATGAAACGCATAGTGTTAATGTCATTTCTTATGTACCTGTAGAGGCACATGAGCTAGAGGACAATTCAGATCATGTTGTTGTTTTGCCTCGGAGTATCAATATCGTTAGGATACAAATAAGGCAATAATAAATAAACTCCGGGCAAAACAACATCGCTGCTACGTGCAAGCAAACTCGAATTCAAATTTTCCGGCTCTCCCCCGACCAGTATAAATAAACGAACGCGACCGTAACAGTTCAGTTATCAATCACTTGTCAGTCGTGCGAATCAATATGAGTTTTGATCAGTCAGTCATCTCAGCGATCTTATTAGCGATTTACACACTGTCTTTAGCGAATCCGTTAGTACCAGCGTCTTAGCGAACATAGTCTGTACTTATTTGTTTATTAATTATTTTATATACACTTGACGGTTTCCCATATCAAGTGATCACGTCGGCGTCACCAATGTGAAGGATGTGTGTGTGATTTGTTGGTTGTGTTTTAAATGACATTTCTCAACTTCGACCCAAAACGTAGAATTATTGAAACAAGCGAAGAGAGTAGTAATGAACGTTGTAGCATGAGGAACGTGAATACAGCAATTGGACACCGTGTAACGTACGACTGAAAATTTATAAATTTGAAGGGCTTTCAGAAGGAACTGTAAATACAATAAATACTAAAGAAACGGAGGGATCGAGAGAGATTAATATACATCGCTAAACGATAAATAACGACGAATAAAGATACGCGAAGAAACGGTAAAACGTTCGAGGATGCAATAATAACTCCGTGTGTTGATCCAGCGACTTGACTCGTTACGTTTATTAATTACACACGGTTTGAGCCAGTCCACGCGACACTGTTGCGCTTGCGAATGGGTTAATCTCCTACAAAGGGAATTAGAATTTACATTAATGCCAGACTATTCAAACAATATACAACGAGTATTGATTCTTAATATCCGAATATGTAACGACGAGTAATGACTCATTCGTATTACGATAAAACTGTTACTAATTTTTCAATTAGCAGTATTATCGCAAAGACTGTTTTATATAAAATTAATATACATGCATGTATAAAGTGTTTGGATTTTACCTTTTGCAAGTCTGCATCGGCGCCAGCGCTACCACCGTGAAGAGTAGCGCATACATCGTCAAGTACTAAGAAGAGACCTGGTGGACGTTTACCTTCCAAAAGCTCGACGACAACCGCATTATTAAAATACTCTATCGGAGTCCACTGTATATTTTCCGATACGTATTCTTCCTGAAATTTATCACTGATTTAACTATTTTCAAAAGCAACTCTTCAAAAGTTTAAATTCGTCGAATAGTGTTATTTTTGCGCCTGTTAGTTGTAACAGCGGTCTCGTACCGCTTTCATACAGCTCTCCCATTAAATTCTATCGAGTAAACTCTGTTACATATTACATGGTTTCGGATAGCTTTCATCGGTGTTTCAGCTCACTTACTAATTCATACTTAGAATTGGCAAGTAGTTACTTTTTACAAATGGCGGTATATTATTATTCGATGAGACACATACAGATAGCGAAGAATATGAATTTGCTAATATTGCAGAAAATGCATCAACGATTGTATGTAATCGAGTGAAACACGTATCACGGGCTTAAAATGTTCATTAGATTTCATTTAACGTACAAAATACAAATCTCTTTTCATGTAGCACAGAAACTAGAAAATTTAATGAGATTAAGGAGGTTAAACAGAATTTTATACGCCATTTTAAAGACACTGTGGCGGCACCCGATCACGGAAATTTACAACGGCTTCGCGACACAAAGCACTAATACCATCGACATCCCTACGGTTCTTTCGCCGAATATTCGGAAGAATGCATACGCGGCAACCGTCGCGGATTTCTAATAAACGCGCGCGTAGTGACAACAAAGAAAAGAATCGGTTTGCTTTCGAATCAAAAGATTCATTCTGCTCCGAACTGCGAAAGGTTAAGCGTCATAGCGTCAAACACAATTAGAGAAACGGGTTATTGACTCTTGATAGTTCAGTGTTAATCGTTATTTGTTATTAATCGTTGTTAATCGTTGACCGTTGTTAATCGTTAATCGTGGTTAATCGTTATTTATTGTTAATTGTTAAGAGTTTAATAAACGTTATTGTTGAAAATCAAGAGTGTTCTTGTGGGCACCTTCACCGACGATCATCTCAACACAAATAACGTTGATGTGTAACGTCAACAAACATCTACAACCAACTTAGGAAACCTGAGCCGCCTTGCACACGACACCAACTTCCAAAACAAAGGAATATGAATTCGGCACGTAGGCAGAAGATAAACGAACATCTAGAAGGGCTGGGTCTTGATCGAGGCTTCAGTCTTTCAGTAACGGCCTAGTCGTAAACTTGTACTCTTACTATAGAATAAAGGTAAAGGTTTCCTGTCATTTTTTACGTGACAATATATTGGGCGGTTGCAATTAGGAATTAAATAAGTCAAAATGCTTTTCTCTTATTACGTATTAAAACCTTTCCGTGCTCGCGATTGACGTTAATTTCTCCTTATAGCTATTTTTCTGTTATGTCGTTGGATGGCGATTGAGGAAACTCTAGTTTATGTAATAAATTACATAAATACGATTCCTGGACGGGATTGGGGATCTGCGTTACCAATTAACGATCGTACAAGATTGAATGGTTGGATCATGGATCATGGATCGCGTTGAATCGTCGATATTCAATCATCAGAAACCTTTCGAACACTTTCACTTTGATTTAGGACTTGTCCCGAAGAGGGGACAGGCAGCTTTACAACGTTTAGGCTATGCAGAATTATCGCTTTAGTAGTTCTAACAATATCATTGCGTTATACGCGTTATAACATTATTGGAAGAAGAGGAAATGAAGTTTCCATCGACGCGAGCGAGAGCGACAAAATTGCCACGCGATCTCTACGCTTTACGAATGCTGAAAACTTTCGTTCGAAAGGAATTTACCATCGAATCTCGACAATTTACGGTAACAAGATTATGATCGAATCATTCGTGAGACGATAGGTACGGGAATTCAATACGAGTAGAGAAACTGTCTGTGATCGTAAACGTGGTGGCCGGCCGTCTCTCGTTACAGAGGATCTCAAGAAACGCGTCTGCAATTCGAGACAGCAAACCGAAATATTCGAGTAAATAATGAAACGAGCATTATGAATAAACAATGCCATTAAATGCCTAAAATGTAGAACCTGTTATCGATATCCTTGCTATGGTGCCGCTATTTATGCAACGATGGTCAAGTGTCTGAAGATGAATAAGGACGCGAACTTATAGCACGCAAATATACCTAAAAACGATCTTCTCAATTTTTTAACACGTTAACTGCTACGCGTGTTTTCACTGAAATCTCCGTCAGGCCACGTACAGGTTAGGTACCTCGATCGATACTTTATGCGAGTAAATAATTTTTTTAATAAACCATTTTCGTATTACTTTTATAACAATTCAATAATTTTATTATTTCCTGTAGAATATCTTTCCAAATACCTACAACGATCCTTCGCAAGTAGTCAAATAAGCACCACCCGTATTCGGAGCAGGAGAAATACTGGAAAGAAGGGGGAGAAAAAAGATGCAGGCTATGTAAAAGGAAAGAAGAAGACCCAAGACACGTAATAGAAGAATGCGAAATAACAGGAGGACCAAAGGACACAGAAAAAATACTAAACGAGACTGGAGAAGGACTAACAGAACTAAAAACAATAATTGAGAAGAGAAGGGCAATACAAGACGGGGAGGAACGACAATAAGGAAGCACAGTAAGGAGGCAAAATGCCAAAAGTTGCCATAGTTTTTAGAGACCATATATGCCATATATTGCCATATATTTATAGAGATCATATAATGGAGTGCAATATAATAGAGTGGAGGTAGATATATAAGAAAAGAGATATATAAAGAGATAAAGATATATAAGATTGATAGAACGTAAAAGCGTAAAAGTTGTTAAACGAGTTGTAAAACCGAAAGCTCGCCCAAAGCCGAAAGACACGGACTAAGTAATAATAAATAAATAATAATAAGTAATACAATTACTCGTTTCACCATTACCATAGGTGTTAAATAGGGTAATGGTTGTATCGTAAAATACCCAAGTATATTACGTTAAAAGGAGTATTATTTTTTGCACGACCTTCGTACTATGGAGAGCACTGTATTTTCGATATTTTATACATTTTTGCATGGAACACGCGCTCTGTGTATTTTTGCGCTTTTACATTTTTCATAGAAATTGCCAGTCAATTTATAATTTGTATTAATTTCATAAATTTATCGTAGTAGTTTTATTTGGTAATAAGGTAATAACCAACAACAATGAGGAGAACGTTGGCTGATGGTTACGGATGTTATCCAGGTGGCCATCGAGATTGCAAGTTGACTTTTCTTCTCTAACGAAATGTACATGAAAAGGTATCAAAGTACACGCGTGATAAAATGATTATCTTGAAAGATATCCTAACTTTAATCTCGTAAAGTTTATTCTATCTTTCATGCACCGAATTATTCAATTAACATTGGAATATCTTTTAAACTGTATATTTTTAGATACAAGTACCTCAATACCTTTTTGTATGAGAAACTGTATCGAATGGCGTATAAGAAAGTACACGGTTCCATTTAAAAGAGCAAAAATCATGTTGGGACTTAGATTTCAAGAACTCTTCCACTTAGACAAATCTGGTGATGATCGTAAGACGTCCTCCTCGAGATGGAACAAGTTTAATTCGCGCAGTAAAAAGACAGTAGGTTATTCGAAAAAGTGTTTTAAATAAACTTGAGCGGATTAAAACAAGACACTCTGTATATGCACGATAGCATAGTCAAAAATTTGTTCACAAATATTCGCTATATCGTGTGGAGGACATTGTACGAAACAGATGAAGACTGGAAATAAAATAACGTTGTTTCAAGACGATCTATGAAAGGATACTCAAAGTTGAATCCTCAACGAATCATTTTAATCAATTTCTTAACTTTGAATGGCAGGATTTCCTGTGACATCTTCTGCACCGTCGAAAATAAAACCGTTCTGTCGTTACAGTGCAACTGTATACTTCTACCAAGAGATTTCCATGGATAAGGAAACCGTTAGCCACCTCGTTTTAAAACTGATGAAATCTAATGAACTCCTTTAAATGTAATCGTTTCGTGCAAAAGAACCCTGGCACAGGCGATTAAATGAATAATTACATACATCACTGTTACATATTTCTAAACATTTATATTATGTATGTTTATACTGAAAGATATCCTAACTTTAATCTCGTAAAGTTTATTCTATCTTTCATGCACCGAATTATTCAATTAACATTGGAATATCTTTTAAACTGTATATTTTTAGATACAAGTACCTCAATACCTTTTTGTATGAGAAACTGTATCGAATGGCGTATAAGAAAGTACACGGTTCCATTTAAAAGAGCAAAAATCATGTTGGGACTTAGATTTCAAGAACTCTTCCACTTAGACAAATCTGGTGATGATCGTAAGACGTCCTCCTCGAGATGGAACAAGTTTAATTCGCGCAGTAAAAAGACAGTAGGTTATTCGAAAAAGTGTTTTAAATAAACTTGAGCGGATTAAAACAAGACACTCTGTATATGCACGATAGCATAGTCAAAAATTTGTTCACAAATATTCGCTATATCGTGTGGAGGACATTGTACGAAACAGATGAAGACTGGAAATAAAATAACGTTGTTTCAAGACGATCTATGAAAGGATACTCAAAGTTGAATCCTCAACGAATCATTTTAATCAATTTCTTAACTTTGAATGGCAGGATTTCCTGTGACATCTTCTGCACCGTCGAAAATAAAACCGTTCTGTCGTTACAGTGCAACTGTATACTTCTACCAAGAGATTTCCATGGATAAGGAAACCGTTAGCCACCTCGTTTTAAAACTGATGAAATCTAATGAACTCCTTTAAATGTAATCGTTTCGTGCAAAAGAACCCTGGCACAGGCGATTAAATGAATAATTACATACATCACTGTTACATATTTCTAAACATTTATATTATGTATGTTTATACATATTAGGTCATCCCATAAGTTCGTGCCGTTTTTCCAGCGGTTATATATGTTATTTTTTTTAAACACCTATGAATCGTTGTCTTGGGTATTTTCAGAACATTTGACGTCTCTTGAACCGTCAAACTTCGTGATTTTTCAACAAGATCCCCAATTTTATCTTCGTCTGTCTGAGGAGGAAGCCCGGAGCGTTCCTCGTCTTCTAAACAGAAATTCCCAGCTCTAAAACGTTGGAACCACTTCCTACAGGTGCGAGATGAAAGCGCATTTTCTCCGTAAACAGCACATATGTTTTTCGTGGCAATTGTTACAGAACTTCCTTTCCGAAATTCATATAACACGAGATGTCGGAAATGGATACGCGTTTCACTCGTGATTTTTTACTGTTAGAAGTCACCGTTATGATATATTAAAACTTTGCCATTCTGCGGCAATATGAGGTATATAGTACGCTAATTGTTGTAGGGACGATCGTAGTCGAAATCAATAAAAAGAAATTGAAAACCAAAGAAAGGACGAAGGAGAAAGTAACGAACAGAATGAAAAAGAGATAGGGAGGAGAAAGAGAGAAAGAGGGAAAGAGAAAAAGAGAGAGGGCGACGTTTCACTTAGCTATTTCATTACCTTCGCTCGATCCGTGGCCGCAGTGCAAACAGAGCCATCATCTGTGTAACGCGTATTCGATCGTACAGGACCGTTTCGAATTTCCATCGTTAAGATTCACGTGCAAATCATGACCGATAAATTGTCCGATGAATACAGAATGCTAGAAAATGCGAAATCCAGTGACATTTAGTTATCACAAGTGATTCATTATTTTCAAGTTTATACAAGTTTGTAGTTTTAATTTGTTGTAACGAAATAACGCTTGATGTCGGTCATCTCTTATTGGTGTAAAGTGCACCAGTTTTTAGATAGCTGCGAACAACCGCAGCTACTACACCCGCAACATTGACTGATCCAAATAGATCGTATTCGCGTTGACCTATTTCAACATTCTACTTCAGGTACGCGCAAAGCACTTTTACCAAGCGAAATCTCTTATCAATTTCATCAATGATTACCGTTAGATACGTCCGTGTTTATTGCCAATTTTATTGACACTTTCTACTCACTAAATAATATATCATCCCTTTTGTGCATAAACCACGGGCGTGTAAATTTTCTCCTTTCTAACGAAGGCTAACGTTATATTTACTATTAGGTCATCCCATAAGTTCGTGCCGATTTTTGCGTATACATTTCATGTGTCGATTTATAAACGTACGACGATAAGGGACCAATGCACTTGAGCTTAGCTGATCGAGAACAGGCTAGAGCAGATTTTCGTGGGTATAAGATCGTGATATAGCGAACACAGTGACTTCTAACAGTAAAAAATCACGAGTGAAATGCGTATCCATTTCCGACATCTCGTGTTATATGAATTTCGGAAAGGAAGTTCTGTAACAATTGCCACGAAAAACATATGTGCTGTTTACGGAGAAAATGCGCTTTCATCTCGCACCTGTAGGAAGCGGTTCCAACGTTTTAGAGCTGGGAATTTCTGTTTAGAAGACGAGGAACGCTCCGGGCTTCCTCCTCAGACAGACGAAGATAAAATTGGGGATCTTGTTGAAAAATCACGAAGTTTGACGGTTCAAGAGACGTCAAATGTTCTGAAAATACCCAAGACAACGATTCATAGGTGTTTAAAAAAAATAACATATATAACCGCTGGAAAAACGGCACGAACTTATGGGATGACCTAATATATAGATTCATAGATTTGCTAGGTAAATTAAAAAGATGCGTGTTGTAACAAACATAGTGTAATAACGTAACGATTGTGCTTTACATCTGATTCGTTATTTTTCGGAATTATCTCTGTGGTTTGGTGCAGAATGTATCGATGATATTGTAGTACTCATAAAATTGAGATATTAACGCTTCAAGATATGTTTAAAAATTCGTGTTTAAATAATTTCTGAATTACACAAGCGTTCCTGCCGTTTCTACTTTCTTTTCTAATACAAGAAGATAAAATTTATATCGACTTTGGTATTTTCCGCAGAAAAATATCAACATTCGCATGTACAAATCCCATTATCGTCGCTTGAACATAGAATTTCAACTTGTAGTTTTTTTATACAAAATATACAATCGCTTACAGCCGGGTCCAACTGACTTTTGCAAAAATATGACATTAGCACTTGTTACGCGAAACCACTGATCCAATTTCTTTACCTTCGATCGTTAACTTCTACAGGGTGGTTGGTAAATAAACATTTTTCGTTCGAGGCTTTGTTTTCGAGAAAATCCACTTTGAATTTTGGCTCGGTACGCGTGCACTTTATCGCGTCTCGTTATAATGGATCTCACTGTAGATCGTTGTCTCGATGGAAAAATTAAAAAAAAAATTGTTATTCTATATTTTCGACTTCTTTTTTCGCGTAGAATCACCCCCTTTCCGCTTGTACCACCAGTTAGCAACTACCCTGTATACAATTTTCCTAATGTTTTTACATAACATCTTGGGCTCGACTCAGATAGTCGACGGAGAGGTAAATATCATGGAATACATTTGGTATAAATTATTCTGTCAGATGATCGCGTTAAAACGATTGCTACGTTAAAAAATAAATCGAAGATGCTACGAATTGAAAGATGAAACACGGAAGAGCTTACTGGAGACTTTCCCATGGAAAGTTAGACGCTACAAACAATCGACACTAAGAAATTT